GATTCGAAATAAATTTCATTGATCAAAGTATTCAAGGGGAAGGTAGATGATGTAAAATGCAAAAAAGGATGAAGATTAAGATGATGCTGAGTATGATTCGGATGATAAGAGGCTTGAAGATTAAATGAAGAGGCAGATTTATGGGGTAAAAGGTAATGTCAATTGAAGCAATTGTAATCGTCATCATCATTATCATCATTCTTATAAATCTTCTAACTCCTTCATCTCTTTTTATCACTTCTCTTCCAACATCTTCACCCTCACAACCTCTACCACCTCCTACTCTTCATCATCATCATCATCTCAATCCCTTTTCACTGTTAACCTAAACAGTCAAATATAATAATCATAAAACCTTCCTCCTTGTATTAATCTGATTGACTAAATTTTAGCCTCTTTTTAAATCACAGCTTCCTCATCATCATTATCAGCACGTCTCATATAATATCATCAATTCAACTTATCATCATCATCACCATCTTTATCTTCATCGATATCTTCATCACCTTTTTTACTCTGAATATAATAAAACTTAAATTGGAAATAAAATTCACAGGGACTCGTTTCATCACCCTCATCACTTTCACCATGATGGCTATCATTATGATACATCCCTGCCCCTTATATAATAAAATGAACTCCCTTGATGACAATTGTTGGTTTATCATGATGCTGACAAAAATGTTGTTGTTGTTTATTATAATGATGAAGGTTGAACAATATCAACAACAAAAATGTAATAAAGTTTTCATCACCAACTGAGATGAAAATTTTTCCAACTCATTGTAATTACTTATCATCATGATTATCATTATTTTTTACTGCTATCATCATTTTAATGATGTTAATCATGATTAGTACCATCACTTTTTTCATGATAACCGAGCATTAGTTTGTAATAGGGATAAAGCCTTTAAATTATTAATAGCTATCAGTTACATTTATAATTATGATAAAAATGATGATTGTTGTTATAATGTTCAAACTGTTCAATATATTGATAAGTTAAAACTTCAATTTGATCAATTGAAAAGTTTGTTGTTGATATGATTGTTTGAATTTTGATTCTGATCAGATTATTGGTATTTTTTTGGTTAAATCAATTGGATTCAATTTTGATTGTTGATACCAATTGATTGTTCACAAAATCATCAATATTAATCATAAAAATCTTATCAAGTTTTAACCACTTGAACATTTTGGCAAAGTGCTAATCCAATTAGAGTAGAAATGAGTAAAAATCAGACATGTACTTAATTCAATTAGATTTAAATTGATTCTAATTACCAATCATTTTTTTAATCCTTTGAATTGATTTCTAGAAAATAATCAATAAATTGAAAGGGAGAAAAGAAAGGATTTAAATTTCAACGGATCAGAACTTTCCTCAAACATTTTCGATAATCATCTTCCCTCATTGAAGATAATCCTTTCTCAAACATGATCATCATTTGTATTAATACATCATTATGAAGATAAGGATGATGATGATCTCTGAATGAAATTCAAAGTCACGATGAGTCCACTAGCCAAAGTAAGAACTGGAAATAATGATGAATATTTTGTAGACATGATGATAAATATTATTTGGTTATAATATTTTCCACTAAAAAAAGGCAATAATAGAGATGATGATAATTTTGCAAAGTTAATGCTGGTAAATCATTATCATCATGGGAGGTTCTGGTTTTTCATTTATTACGATGATAACATTATTACTAGTATTATTATCATGATAATCACAAGGCATCACTTGGAAAAAATGATGATATTAACAATCATCATCACGAGGTTTATAACCATTGAGAAATTATTTCATCTTTACAATGTTATAATATTTAGACACTAAAGAGATGAAAATTCATCCTGAAGATGCTTAAAATTTTCAATCTAAATATTATCCGCATCCTCTTTTCATCCTCATCAATTTTGTGTTACAAAGTTAATACTTTTTTACCTGATTGATATTAATATAAATCAGATCCCTTATGTTAAGATATTATTGTCAAATCAAATCAAATAGTAACAACATGATTAGTACCACTCGAATTGCAATAATACTGGTTACCTCCTTATGGATTATCTTGTTGATTATGTTTCTTGTTTATCCATCAATCCTTTTTTGCTTCATTTCAAATTCAATTTCTGTTAAAATATTATAATGCCAAGCAGAAAATAACATTGGCACCAATGTCTCTATGTTATTATCTTCATGATTGTTACCATTATAATGGAAACGAGATTTTTGCGTGAAAAGAACTTTTTTTTTCTTCTTTTATACATATTGAATCTTCTTTCTTTTTCTCTTTTTTTGATAACAATACAATTTCTACTTCTAACTGATGATGATTCTACTTTTGTAAACAATCCAAATTACCTGAATAAGTGATCGTAATCATAATAATGGCTTCGAAAATTAAACTAATCATATCATTCAATATTTTCAAATTAGAGAAAAAATTTTATCAATATTAGTTTAATCAAGGATGAGTCAATTTTACCGTACCAATTCATTTGATTACTATTATTAATTATTCGAATCTTGATTGACTAACTATATGTTTTTGGAGCTAATTGTTGTTGTCGCTGTTTTGTTAGAACTTAATTCAATCAATGTTGCAGTTTTGATGTGACTAACTTACAATTAAATGTTATTTGTGTTGTTGACTTGTAATTATCATTAGTATTTTGATATATTTTTCAATATTGCTTTGATCATTTGGCTGAAGATTTAGTAACAATGTTTAAAAACTGAAGAGGTGGTAAGGTTGTGATAATAAGGTAAAGTTGTTAAGGGATAATGATGATGCGTGAGTGTGTGTGCCTGAATAAAAAGCCATTTGTCAATTTAATTTTTTTAATATTTTACTATAAAAAACAAGTGAAAGAGAGAGAGAGAGAGATAAAAAGTAAAGAATAAAGAGGAAAAAGGTTGTGACAGGGAAAGTCAATTTTATTTGATGATGATGAATTTTGAAGATGAGGATGAGGATGAAATATGAAAAAATAAGACGATCATGAAGAAAAATCCATAAGATAGAAGTTATGTAGAATTCATCAAATGAGTGTTTATCTTCCTTTGCTTCTCCGTAATTTTCCAGGATCAATCTGATCACAATGAAGAAATTAAATTTTTTTCTCCTTGCGTTTCCTTTTCTTTTTTATTTTCCACAGATCATCATTAGATTATAACCTTAATGATGATAACCTGATCTCTGTTATTTTTCAATCAGATGAGCTAGAGAGCGAAACAAAAATAGAGTAATATGATTGACTCAAGAATCAATTCGTAAACTTGTTCTCCCATCAAAATTAATTACAAATTGTCACAATCATCAATAGAATTACGTTAGTTTCAATGATTAATCGAGAATCAATTAAACTTTTTAACTTTTATTCTCGTGATTAATTTTAATGTTCATAAAGATCGGTTTTCTTTATGGCGATAAAGTGTTTTTCAATGGGTCGATATTAACTTCTGAATGAAAGTTCATCACGAATAATTTATTTGTACTTAATATGAAAACTTTGGTTGCATGGCTCAAGTTTAAAAACTTCCAAGTTTTTTTATCGATTATTTTTACTTTTCTCTTTGGCTATTCCTAAACATATTCCTCATAATTGAGAAGATCAAACAGAACAAAGTAGCTTGAATCATCACAATGTCGACTGTTGGTGAATCAATAGATTGTCGAGCTGCTGTTTTATGGGCTCCTAAAGGACCGTTGACTGTTGAAACGATAACAGTGCGACCTCCAAGTAGATCCGAGGTTCGAGTTAAAATAATCGCCAGTGGTGTTTGTCATTCTGATTTAATTGATTATTCAGAATCGGGAATGGCTTTGGGTGAATCAATGTTTCCTTATGTTCCTGGTCACGAAGGAGCTGGAATAGTTGAATCGATTGGTGACAATGTGACTAATGTTACGATTGGAGATAAAGTGCTTGTAATGTTTTTCGGTAAATGCGAAAAATGTTCAGATTGTGATAAAGGAATAGCTAATTATTGTGGAACCAGCATGTTGAATGCTCAAATAAACATCGAAACAAGTGAGATCCCATTCACAGTTAAAGGTGAACCATGTTATCGTTTGTTTGGTGCAAGTACTTTCTCAGGTAAAAAAATCTTATCGAATATCAATTTGAGGATAAAAATTCTCGAAATACACTTAATCAACATGTTTACTAATTCTTGTCATTGAAATCTAGAATATACTTTAGTTGAAGCAGATCGAGTGGTCAAGATTGACCAAGAAGATGTTGATCTTAGGAAAATTTGTCTGATAGCATGTGGAATACCAACCGGATATGGATCAGCGGTAAACATTTCTCGAGTTACCAAAGGGTCAAGTGTTGCAATATGGGGATTAGGAACACTTGGATTAGCTGCTGGTCTTGGTGCAGATCATTGTGAGGCATCAATGATAATTGGAATCGATCTTAATTCAGATAAATTTCCAATCGCAAAAAAATTTGGTTTCACTCATTTTGTTAACCCAAACGAACTCGAATCTGGTAAGACAAGTGTTGATGCGGTTAAGGATCTTACAAGTGGAAATGGTGTTGATCATACTGTTTGTTGTGTCGGTGCTACAATTGCGATGAAAGAAGCCGTCGAATCTTTAGTACCTAAGGTCACATCGAGAGCAGCATTGGTTGGATTACCTGTTCCAGGGGCTACATTTCCAATCTCTGCAGCCGATGTTTTCTGTGGTATAACAATCACTGGCGGACTTTATGGTAACTACAGACACGAAGACATCCTGGTCTAATAGACTTAGTTCGTACTGATAAAATTGATCTAAATAAATTCATCACATCCAACCGACCCTTAGAGGAGATTAAAGAAGCATTTGACGATCTGAGTGCTTCGAAGGTCCTAAGAACCATAATCGTTCTGGACGAAAACTATTCTACATAAAACTATTTCACCACAACTTCAGTCATTCCAATCAACCCCGAACGTATTAGTCAAATAACTGGTAGATCTTGAAGAAATGTAATTATCATGACAAGTTTTATTAGCAATTAAATTCATTGAAAGAAAAGCAGAAATCAAATTCAAAATTAAATGAAAACCAAAGGTATTGATCGTTAATCACAATTGAAGTTCAATCATAAGCCCAGTTTATTGCGGAGGCTTTGGATCTCCTCCAGCCATTTTCTTACAACACTCCTATTAAAGTAACAATTAAATCATTCGATTAGCTGAATTAGTTAATTCTAAACAATTAACTCACCCTAAATTTTCCCATGTTCTCCTTTCCAAGAGCTTGATCAGTACACTTCTTAACCTAAGAACAATTGATGAGAAAATTAATCAATCAATAAGAAAATCACTAGGCAACAATCAACTTTACCTCTTCAAATTTTGCGACATTTCCGTCAATATCAGCACAAATTTTGGTCACTTGATCGGCAGTTTTCATGGGCAATTGCTCGTCACATTTATTGACCGCAGCAAAGATGTCCTTAGGTACGGCTTGTTCCTGACAATCGACGAGCAATTAGTTAATCACCACTAATTCGGTTAAATTGTTTAAATCTACTTACTCTACAATCTTCTAGCTCCTTTTGGGCCTTTTCAAATGAGCCATTTTTTATTCCTTCCAACATTTTTTGACATCTAAATGTTAATACATTTTTGGGAGTCGGTTCAGCTTTAATTGTTGAGATGATAGTTAACAATAGGAAAATAGATAAAACTTTTTTAATCATCTTGTTGATTAGTTGATTGGTACGATAAACAAAATTGTAACTTGATTTAGACTTGAGACTTGATCTATGTTGATCGGCTAACAATTTACTCATGAAAATTAAGTTGAGTCTCTTTTTATATCAAAGGATTACAATTAAAATATAATTAATTATCTTTATGTGATTACCTTTATTTGTTTCTAATTGTTTATGGTGACAATCAAATCAATCTGATTAAATATAAAACTTTTTTGAAAGGTTGTAACTAATCAAATTAAAGTTTACAATTTATGATTATATTATATTCAATTAATGTTGAATTTAATTCAACCCAATTATAAATGTGTACAGATGATAATTGTAATTTAATCAAATTGTCAAGTTGTCAATTGAGATAATCATAATTGCTTTGTGAGTTTCACTTTTAACCATGAATTTGATTAACTATTAATAGAAATTAAATTAAATTGTTCATCATTATCATAATGGTTACAATTCACACTGAAAATAAACAACAATCAGCTAATTGATATGATTAATTGTAAAGTTTATTAATTTTTTATTAACCGTAGCATTTTTTTGTCACATCAGTTTGACTAATTGTGATCAGCTAATTGTTGACACAATTTCTCGATTGCTATACTATTGTGATGGTAATTTTAATTGTAATTTAAATTAACCATACATTTAGAAATAATCATCAACGATATCTACAAAGTGTATTTGAATAACAACTACATTAAATTGTAAACAATTAATTTTGATAGTTATATTACCTTTTAATAGATCATTCATTCAAAAACAATAAATAAATTTAACAAAAAGTTTAAATTGTGCAATTGATTGGTCATTTATTTAGTTAAAATTAAGGTGATTATTGATACAATAATAATTCGTGAATTAATCATAATCCAGTTGATTGTTCCAGTGGTTGAATAATACTAATTAGTGAATCAGACTGTTTGATTAACCTTTGTCCGAGTCAAATAGTTTTCACAGCATTTCTAATATAACAATTGAAAAATTAGATTTTACTTACAATTACAATTGGATGAAACAATTAGAATTGTTTTTTAAGAAGATTTTACAATTACCTGGAAACTATTTAGATCCATGGTTGAAGTTAAATTTTCCATACAACTTTTTACCTGACAATTAAAGGGATGCAAAATTTATTCAATTGATTGTAATGGGTAAAAAATTGGTAATTTAATTTACCTGTCCAAAAGCAATTAAGTTACCATCAATATTTGAACAAGTTGAATTGATTTCCTCTGGTGTTCTCATTGGTAAAATTTCATAACATTTATCAACCGGATCAGCAAATTGTTTACATTTTGGTTCCTTCTGTAATAATTAAATGAGAAATGATATTATAATTGACTCGACTATCAGAAATTAATTAGTTAACTTACCAGACAATCATTTACTATTTTCTGGTTTTCAGAGTATTTTCCTGATTTAATTGCTTCCAAAATATGATCACAAGTACCGATGAATAAGCTTTTAATGTTAATTTCTTGTGAAACAATTAAAATTAACAATGAGTAGAGTGTAACAATTAGCAAGGCTTTTTTCCCCATTGCTGATGGATTTTAGTTCAAGATTATTGCTTGAATGTAACTAGAGAGTTGGTTTATTAAAACTGTTGATTGTCACTGATTGTGATTCGTTATTAATTTGATTTAGTTACTAAAAAAGGGAGGATTTTAATTCATTTAATTGTTGAAAAGTGTAACTAATGGTTGATAAAAGTATGGAAATGTCATTAATGTTAATGATTGATTGTCGCCGATTGTAAAAGTGGACAAAAGGTTATCGTTTGAAAGATTTTAATTTATTTGATTATACAATTAGTATCAACAATATTCATTATCCCAAATTAATCAAAAGCAACGTGAAAGTAATTAAATTGGTATTCGTTATAAAAAGTTTTCAGTCCATATTCAATATCACCCTGAGGTATTTAAATTTTTCCAAGAGCTTTGATTAGGCAATCCTAAAGAATAAAATAGAGATTAATTATCATCAAATTGAATATTTACTACATCTTAATTGTTGTCAATTTTACCTTGAATGTTTTCTTTGAAGATGGACCTGGACCATTAGATTTAAAGCATGTTCGAAGCTGAAATCGAGAAATTAATCAATTAGCTCGTTGATTATGGATTTTGCAAGGAGAGAGAGAAAATGAATTTTTTGTTCGATTATTGGTTCGAATACTTAGAACTCAGACTAATTACCTCTTGGAATTTAGGTTCGTATGTTTTCATATCGGAACAAACTTTTTCCACATCAGTTGGAGTTTCCAAGGGTAATTTGGCTCGACATTTTTCCATGGCCTTACTTTGTTCAGTCGTAAATGATTTAGCCTTAATTTGGTAACGATAATTAGAAATTGAATTAGAATTGATAGAGAGATTTGTAATTTACTCACAGCACATTCATCCAGAATCTTTTTACGAGCGACAAAACTTCCTTCGGTTATTGATTCTTTGAGGTCACTACAAAGACCTGACAAATTTTGCATGTGGGGGTGATCGTCAGTTGGACCAGCGTTAATTGTGACGATTAAGGTGAACAATGAACAAATTAAAATAAGAAAATCCATCGTTAGAAATTAAGATAATGTAGACGAGAGTGAGAATTACTGAGTTGTATCAATTTCTTTGATAAGTTACACAATCAACTTAAAGATTATCAGTGTGACCAATTAGTGATAAATTTTCATTTTATAGTGGTACCAAAAGAGATGCGATTGAAAATAATACCTGCTGAATCAATAGGAGATAATTATATGGATATTAATTTAGTAATTGTTGGATTAGACTTGAATAACTGTAAAAAGATATGCAATTAAATGTACTTATCTATGCTGACAAAATGATTTCTATTCTTACAATAATAAAAACATCCCTTTCCCTTTTATCATCCAATTAAACGTGATACCTTTGCAATTGGAAGATGAAATTATATGTATTATGTACTTTTAAATTTTTTATGATTAGTTGATTAGTGAGTCACTAATAGTGACAATTATGAGAACGATGATAGAAAATTTAATAAATAGAATCACAAAAAAGAGAGAAATTATAGTGTTGAGAGGTGAAAAGAGAAAAAAAAGGATGGATCGTTAATTCATCTTTGAATCCATATCGACAGAAAATTCGTCATTGCATTTGTAACAATAGGAAAGTGATAGAATAATAATTTCGATTTGATGAGATCAATTTGTTGATAAAAATCAAGAAAAACTTCTGGGTGAAATTGGTCATCACAACGATAAAGAACACCCGTAGGATGGAAAGTAGAGTTCATCCTCCTTCTTTTAATCCTTTGATAACATTCCAGTTTAAATATATGTACTCATAATGATCAGATTCTAATTATCAATCATTGCCTCAGTCAAAGTATTGAATATTGGCATTATGATGATGGTGGATAGAAAAGTAAATGTAAAAATTGTTGATAATGAAAATGATCAAGTTGATGATAAAATACGAGTATTAACGTGGACGAAAATATGTTGCTCAATCAAACGACCGTAGATAATAACAATTGTTTATTCAGCTAGTCATAAGTACCTAAATTGTCCACTTTTGTACAATGAATTTGTAGAGCGGAATATTGAAATTAGTAAAATCGATCAAATATTTTTTCGAAAACTTAATTTATTCATCAAAGGTAGAAAACAGAGAATCATTTATACTTAATTGTTGTAAAATTCAACATGAGTTGGCAAATCAGAATATAAATACTTAAATTATAATTAGTTACAATTTGGTCAATATTTTCAACAATAAGCTTCATCTTGATTCACTTGAATCAAACCTGATTTTCTCCAACAGTTAACAATCGTCTCATTTTGAACTTCATACCAGGACTTACATACCCATTTGATTGCTACATTTAATTTAATTCCTTTTTTAATTTGATCAATTTTTTTCCCGCCTTTGAACTCATAAACGTGATTGATTAAATTAGAAGCAAATTTTGATTTAAATGATTTTATGATACAACAATCAAGGGGTTGGAGGTGACTAGTTGTATTGGGTGGCAAAAATTCAAATTTAATTCTTGGATAATCAGACTGATTAACATGATGACCATTGAAGTTATCAAGAATTAATAAAATATTTAAATTTTTTTCTTCTAAATTATCATGTAATTTATTCAACCATCGTTGAAATAATTGTGATGTTACCCAAGCTGATGAAGATGAATCATAATCAAATTCGTAATTGTTTAAATCATTATCTCTTAACCAACGAGGATTTTAGAGTTACCAACAATTACAGGTAATTCTTGTTACCTGATCTAGAACAACACAACATCAATGTTACTCTTTCTTTACTTAATTTACCTCCAAAATGCTCTGTTTTCGAGAAGAAATATGATTTAGATGGTAACAATTTATAAAACAGTGATGTTTCATCAACATTAAAAATTTGATCATCACAATAAAGTCTCATTAATGGTTGAATATTAACTCGATATTGATCAACAGTATTTGTATCAACATCATTTGATTCACCAGAAGGATTACCAAACTTTAAATTTTTCTCAAGCAAAATTTACGTAACCACATATTGCTACACTGTAACTCGAATCTACCTTGATTATCACCAATTAATTTCCCTTCTTTCTTAATTAACCAGCCACCTATGGGAAAACCTTCATCTCGATATTCTTTTAGTATCTTAATTAGCTCATCATCATGATCTTTAACTTTCTTTTCAACTCCAACACTATCAATAAAAAAAATTATTAGAATTTGTTGTTGATTAATTGCCAATGATTAACTTACTGTTTGAACTTAGTTTTATTTTTTGATGATTTTCTTATATTTTCCTCGTTATTTTTATATCGTTTAATTGTTTTGACTGATACCTTATATTTATTTTTCACATAATTCAATCCAAATTCACTATAATCATTGAGAAGATTAATTTTTTCACTAATTGTTAACTGTCTTTGAATCATTTTGTTTACATTTAAAGAAAAATGAACTGAATTAAATTCGACGATTGAGCTTATTTCTAATTCTACTAGATGGAGCTATGATCGATTGGACAATTTTGGGTACGGACAATTTTAGGTACTTGACTGTATTTTGATTTCAATAGTAATGAACAGAATATGATGATTGATCCAATTAATCAAATCAATCAAACCAAATAATTCGGACTATATAACTCTGGATAGCTCTGTTGAAAACGAATCGTTTGTAATTGAAAAATGCATTCAAACCCCGATTAATTTAATTATTCGTGTTATCGAAAATTCAAAAATTCAATAGTGAATAGAAATAGATGATTTAATGGTCGAACGGGTTGACTGTGATCGAACTTGTTTAATGATGTAATGATTATAACAACACCTACCGTTATAAGCTTACATAACCGAGACGGTTATCCTTCACCCGAGGCACATGTAATAAAATAATAGGAAAAAAAATATAACGAGTTTATCATTAGATTGACATTAGATTCGCCTCTAGACTAATCCAATAAACGAAAGATAAAGCTAATCACCTAGATTAACTAATTAAAATTCCCCAACGAATACTAATTACCCTTTAATTATTAAGATTATACAGGGCTATTCAGCTATTTTTACCGATGTTTTTTGCTATTTTCTCAGCAACTAACAGTCAGAGAGACACGAGACCTGAGTGGTATGAGTTTGAGCGATACTCAATTGTTATATCAAAAGATCAATGTCATTCAGGTCATCGGTAAAATAACACGTTTCATGGTCATCTGAAGGTGCTACAGTTTTCCTCCACGTTTTTTAATTCTGAAAAATGAGTTTAGAGATCCTTGCCGTCACAGATCTTGAGATATTACAGATATGTAGATAACAATTGTAGTATATAAGAAATACCAACAAAATAAAAAGATTAGATTTTTTTGACTAATCTTCAAAGGGATCTCATTGTTTTAATCTTCGAGGCTCGTCACAATTCATTCGTGACAAATGATTTACTTCTTTAGGTTAGATCTACACTTGTATGGAATAATTGATTAGGTTTATATATATGGTGAATGTGTAATACAATGTATTTGGACAGAAGAGAGCGACAGAAAGAGAGAGAGAGAGAGAAGTAAATCTCAACATTGAGATTTTTCTTTTCTCTGGAAGGGTTGAATTGGAAATGATGATGATTCTCCTTTCTCTTCGGGGTTTCTTTTATACATGGGAGAGAAAGGAGAGAAAGAGAATTGATCAAAAGAGAAATAGAAAGAGAGATGAGGTGGTAATAATTATCACCACCATAAATCTTACCACTGGATTATCAATTTTTTCCATCTTTTCTTTATGGCTAATTAACTTTTTAGTTAATTAGCTTGTTTTTGTTATTTTATTACACTGGCGATACAAGCCCTTGAGTTCTCTACCCTAATGAGAAGTAAGCTGTTCGAGGAAATGAACATCGCTAAACTGCCACACAAGGAACGAATTAACATTGAACTTCGTCATAGTACCGCTTGTTTATGGTAAAGATCACAAAAGGGAACCATGCAAAGTTTGCTCTTACTGTTTGGAATGAGAGAAACCCCCATTTTCTGGAAAAATGTTGGAAACTTGGACTTCAAATGGTTGGAAAAAATAAAACCTATTGGAAAATTGGAAGACGAAAAACCTACGGTGGCTATTGACACCGAAGGTATGGCCACGGATAGAAAGGCACGTCGGGCTTTTCGTCACCCTCACTGGTTGGTTCAGCAGCAATAGTCTTGGTGCCCAAGTAATATACTGTGAACATATAAAAACCATGAACGTCGCTAATTTGACCACCTCCATATCTAGCAATCAGATGCAACAAGTTCAAGAAAGAAAGCCGTTAGAAGAGGTAAAATAAAACATCTTACTGGCCTGTGGTGGTAAAAGAGTTCTGATAATAAGTTAAAAAAGATAAATATAACCGATAGCGATCTCAAGGAATGGAAATGGTCAATGTTCAGCAACTTTACGGGAAAATCTCCGCAAAATTAGTTAACTTCTTTTTCCCTCATTCAAAGGGTCTAAAAAGAGACTCGAATAATCCAATCAATGGTCACAATCCTGGACTTGATTCTTATTTTAAAATAAAGTTTTATCGGAAATATCTGGAGATGGTAAAGGATAAAAAACGGATTCCATCAGCTGATGATATAAGATCAGTGTTAAAGGCCAATCAAAACTGTTGAACTTACAATCCAGTTTGCTACCTTTAGACATTCGCAGGTACTGCTTCAAATTGGTCAGTCGGAAGTGTTATGAAAATGTCAAAGAGAGAGATTAAGTTAATCGTTTTATTACTTTGTTTTCATCAATAGTTAAAAGTCACCTTGACTTTTATATCTCTTCCGTATAAAACATTGTATTTTAGACTGATTAAGTGGTAAGTGAGTTAGGTCCCAATCAGTGAAGATTGAGCCAAATCTGATACCAAAAATTCGGTCAAATAATTAAGTGAATTGTCAAAATAATTAAAACTAAGTGAAATCGAATTAAATTGTTCAATTGATATTATATTAATCAATATTTTGTATTATATTTATTATAACTTTGACTTCATGATCAAGCTTAAAAAATTTCTGGTTTTCAAAAGTTCTTCAAATGACCTTCAAGTGCGTTCTTTCACGAATAATCTTCATGACCCCGACCTTGCAATATGACAAATGAGTATTAGCCAAACTTCCATAGACGTAACATGCACCCTATCGGTCAAGTTGTTT